GAGTTTAATTCCCAGTACCAAAAAAAAGGACTACTGCTTAAGTGTTTTTTTTTTTTTTTTTTTTTTTGGTCTTTTTCCTTTTTATCGGTACCAGGGATCGAACTCACGACTGCCTGCTTGCAAGGCAGGTGCTTATGCCGCTGAGCTAAATCCCCAGCCCCTACTGCTTAAGTTTTTATGCTTTGTGATTGGTTTTGAGTTTTTTGGCTGTTTTTGAGACTTTCACTATATATCCCAGGCTGACCCAAACTCACAGTGACCCTCCTTCCTTAGCTTCCTGAGCCACCATGCCTGGCCACATCAGTTAAAAAAAAATGAATCGGAACTTTCTCTTCCATTTGGAAAACTCCCAGCTTCATTATATTTCAGTGTGAATTTTTTGGGGGGGGTTACCGGGGATTGAAATGACCTCATGCTTGTTAGACAGGCACTTAGCCACTGAGCTAAATCCCCAGCCTTTCAGTATGAATGTTTAATACAGGTTGAGTTCTCTTATATAAAATGCTTGAGACTGGAAATATTTTTCAGATTTGGTATACCTCTAAAGGGGACCCAAACTTAACAAAATTCATGGCCAGGTGTGCATGCCTGTAATTGCAACCCTCAGGATGCTGAGGCAGGAGGATCACTACAAGTTCGAGGCCAGCCTGAACTACATAGTGATACCCTGTCTCCAAAAAAAATTCACATTTCATATATACCTTGTACACCTACCCTGAAAATGTTATGCAGTATTCATAGTGGCCTTGGGTTTACAACTCTGCCCCCCCCCCCCCGCACAGTGCTCATATGAAATGGAGCCCAGAGAGTTTAGCACATGCTGGATGTAATCTGTCTACCACTTAACTACGCTCTCAACCCCAAACCTTCCAAAACTAATTTCAGACCCTAAAGGAAGTGAGTTGATTCTTTTTAAAGGCATTCCACTTAGAAATACATGAGTTATCATCTAAGGCACAGTAGATTTATTTTGCTCTTAACACTAAAAAGAACTTGCTACATTTCACCCAATCAAAGGTACACCAGTAGGCTGGCCATGTTCAGGGACATTTTAAAGCGTGAGCACTCCCTCTGGTAGTAATCTGTGTCATGCTGAATGCCTTCTAATGCTTGCACATAAAAGTTTTTGAGGAGTCTTGCTGTGTAGTGGAGCCTGGCCTCAGACTTTCTGCCTCAGCCAGTACTGGGACTTGTGGGCGTGTTGTAGGCTTTTGCTTACTTTATCTTGGTATATCCAAGTCCTATTTACAGGTGCTTGCTGGTAAAGTTAGCTAATTGTACAGATTTACGAGGCAGCTTGATGGAACTAAACCTTGGAGAGCTTATCCAACTCTGAAGTGCCATAGAAAGGGTTTCTGTTACGGTACTTTGTGGCTCTACCTGCTGGTCAGATGCCTGGGCTTAGTGTGTCAAAGTTCTGCCAATGTTAGGGGAGAAGTGAGGCGACTGACTTCCTTGACCTTCCTCTGCTGTGCTCCCACCCCAGAAGTTACCCAGTGGGTGTCTCCATGCGAAATAGAGCTTCTGGGAAAAAAAAGATAAAAGTTCCTGTGTAGACTTTGCTGTTTTCAATTGTAAAGATGGAAAAACGTTCAAAATGGCTACTGGAACACTGGAAAGGATTGTTTTCATGGAGTCCTTGGAAAAAATTTATATGAATGAGGAATAGAAGTCATTTTATAGTTTTTAGTATTTTAAATGTTTGTTAGTACACATTTGCAATACATAATGATTACATTCATCATGGGGCACCGGTACTTGCACATAACACATCTTAATATTTTTTACTTCAAGTTCAAGGCCAGACTGAGCAACTGGGTGAAATCAGGTCTTGAAAAAATAAAAAGGTATGGGGGTGTAGTTTAGTGCAAAGGCCAAGTTTCATCCCAGCACCTGCCCCCCCTCAACATACAAAGTACTGATTATTCAGCCACCGGCTTTAAAGTGTTTTCTTAGGCATTTGTTATGAACCCAGGGGAACTGGACCTTACCCAAATTCCCAAAGCTAATATTAAGCATTATCTTTTTTAGGAAATTTTAGTCAAAAACTAAAACCATAAAGCTGGGTGCAGTAGTGCACGCCTATAACCCCAGCACTGGGGAGGCTGAGGCAGGAGGATCACTGAGTTCAAGGCCTGCCTGTCCTATCTCAAGGGAAAAAATGAATACCAGGTTTATGCAGTCAGGCCTGGTGGTACATACTTATAATCCTAGCACTCCAGAGGCTGAGGGAAGAGAATCACCATGAATTCGAGGCCAGCCTGGGCTACATACTGAGTTCCAAGCCAGTCTGAACTGCATAACGAAATCCCATCTCAAAAAACAAACCAAAAAGGGGCTGGGGATTTAGTGCCTGCCTTGCAAGCGCAGAGTCATGAGTTTGATCCCGGTACACACACACAAAAAGGCAAAAAACAGGCTCTTAGGTTATAGTTAGCCTTTTCTGCTCCAAGATTGTATTTAAAAAAAAATAATAGAAACTGGGGCTGGGGATTTAGCTCAGTAGCATAAGCACCTGCCTGGCAAGCGCGAGGTCATGAGTTCGATCCCCGGTCAGACTTGCACTAAAATATGAACAGGTTTGCTTGTCCAACTGCCACTGGAGTCTGGGCTAGTAGCTCCATAGGTATGATTAGAGTCAGGGTGATATATCTCAGTGGTAGATTGCTGTCCTGACATATGCAAAGCCCTGTAATCCACCCATAGCCCAGCAAATAAACATATAAACCAGCAAGCAAGCAACTCAGCATTATGTAGCAAAAGATGCACACACGCACACGCACACCCCAGCCAGTCTACTTCAGTTTCTTAGTTGCCCACATAACAGTTCCTGTTTCAATTCCAGTTGCTCTTGTCTCTTAGAAACAGCTGGTCACTGTGATACATAGCTGGTCACTATGATGCACACTGTATAAACCCTAGACGACCAGCGATTGGGACCTGACATTCTGGGAATGATCCTGATCAGTGCCCATCGATGTAAATAAATCTGCCTCCAAATCTTTTTTTTTTTTTTTTTTTTTTTGTCTTTTTCCTTTTCATCGGTACCAGGGATTGAACTCATGACTGCCTGCTTGCAAAGCAGGTGCTTATGCCACTGAGCTAAATCCCCAGCCCCCATGCCTCCAAATCTTGAGTGTCATCTAAGGTATTTCTTATTGCTGATACAGTCACAAAAAGTTACTTAGATAGGTATGAGAAGATCAAATAGTCTTCTTACAGGGAGAATACTGTTGCAGAATGAGTGATAAAACTTATGGCTGCAAGATGTCCCTCCACGGGCCAGGGATTTAGCTTAGCGGCATAAGCGCCTGTCTTCCAAGTTCGTGGTCATGAGTTCAATCCCTGTTACCAAAAAAAAAAAAAAAAAAAAAAAAAGATGTCCCTCCAGCTGTGTATTTTTGTCTCTAAAAAATAGTGGCAAACCTGAGGGTTGTTGCCAGGAGCATAAAAGGAGGACTGGAGGGGAAGTTGAGGTGCTCTTGAATCTCCTGGAGGAGCTTGTCACGCTGGCTCTTCTGATACAAACTTGGCTGTTACCATCAGAGGACCTCGGGTCCTAGCTGTTGCTGAGGATGGCTGCGATTGACTTTGGGGGAGCTCTGGTCCTTGCCTTGAGCACTGCTTTCTGGCTCCACGCAGATCCCTCAGCCTGCTGGCACAGATCTTTCATCCCACAGGTGCAGACTTTCTAGCTTCCACCACTGACCTTTGTGCCTTCCCTTGATACAGACTTCCAGGAAACATTGTCGTGGGCTCTGGGCATCCAGTTGGACTCGTGCAGGACATTGCTGTGGGACCCAGGCCCTCTCTGGATTATTTGGATCTCTAGTGCATGGATTGATCTCCTGCACTTTTCTGCATTTGACTTTTTGGGTGAATTTTTTTGTTTCTTTGTTTTGTGTAGTTTTGTTTTTTTGGGGCAGGGTCTCACTATGCAGTTCAGGCTGACCTTGATCTCACTTTGTAGCCCAGGCTGGCCTTGAATGTGGTAATCCTCCTGCCTCAGCTTCCCGAGTGCTGGGATTACAGGCATGCACCACCATGCCCAGCCGGGTGAATATTATTGAAGAATCCTAGAAAGAAAAAAGAAAGAAAGAAAACATTGGCGGGCTGGGATTTAGCTCAGTGGCATAAGTGCCTGCCTTGCAAGCACGCGGTTGTGAGTTCAATCCCTGATACCAATTAAAAAAAATCTAACTTTAAAAGGTCCAGTAGGATTAAGAAAACATTGGCAAGTTACCAAGGGCAACACATTTGCCTTTGAGCATTAATAATTTGTCAGTGTGCAATCCACATCTGAATTGTTTTTTTATTTTGTATGATGATGCTAGGGATGGGACCCAGAGCCTTGCACATGCTAGACAAGTTAACTCACCAGTGAGCTACACCCCATCCCCAGCTTTTCCCCGAGTATTATGATCTATTCCTTTTAACATCCAAAGGTTCATTCACTTAACAAAAATAGAAAGTGATATCCTGAACAGAGAGAGAACCCTGGTTAGTGAAATCTAATGTCTATACACTTTTAAAAAGCCGTTGAATATTACAAACATGACAAAATGCACAAATAAGATCACAGTCTTTTGGTTAATAAATCTGTTTTTATCACTATAGCTTTGTAGTCTGCAGTTGCAATGCCCCTGTCTGAACTTTGTTGCCCAGAGTTGCTTTTCCTGTTCTAGGTCTCTTCTGGCTCCATAGGAATTTTATGGTGAAAATGCAGTTGGTATTTTGACTGGGATTGCATTAAATCTATATATGAGTTTTTGAAGCCTGACCATTTTGACAAAATCAATTCTTTCCATCCAGGAACAGGGGACATCTTTCCATCTTCTGATGTCCTCTTCAATCTCCTTTTGCAGAATACTGTAGTTTTCATTGTAGAGATCTTTCACTTTCTTAGGTTAATTTCTAGGTATTTTATTTTTCTTGATACTATTATGAGAGATATTATTATGCTAATTTCCATCTCTCCAATATACCTGTAGCTTTTATGCTTGCTTGGGCAGCACATATACTAAAATTGGAATGATACAGAGAAGATTAGCATGGCCCCTGCACAAGGATGACACGCAATTTACCTGTAGCTTTTAATCTTTTTGTCAGTTCCTTCCCAAGAAGCTGAATTTTGCTGCCACTCAATGCTTTGCCATCTCTCTCTCTCTCTCTCTCTCTCTCTCTCTCTCTCTCTCTCTCTCTCTCGTTTTTTGTATGTTTGGTTTTTTGGGTTTCTTTGACACGTGGTCTTGCAGTATAGTTCAGGCTGGCCTTAAAATTTCTATGGAGCCCAGTCTGGCCTCAAACTCATAGCAACCCTCCTGCCTCAGCCTCCAAGTACTAGGATTACAGGCATGCACCAGCACACTTGCCTTCCCCCATATTGATGCCCTCTCTTTACTAAACTTTTCATTACTGTCTACTGCGCCCAAACTAGGTGGGCTACCATCATTACAAAATCAGTTTGAGGTTGAGAAGAAGAGTAATTGTTTATATCATAGGGAAGCTGCTTTAATAATGGAATTGAACTCACAACCTCACACTTGCTGGGCAGGCGCTGTGCTGCTGAGCTATATCCCTGACCCTAAAGGCTGCTTTTTCAAAAGTCCAGAATGAAGTGACAATATAAGGCTAACTGCAAAAACCTACATACATTTGTCATACCTGGACATAGTAGTAAATACTGAAGCTTCATGTTAGGGTTTTTTTTTTTTTTTGTACTAGGGATCAAATTTACAACCTCACACTGGCCAGGCAGATACTTGTGCTGCTGAGCTATATTCTCCATGTTAGTTTGGTTTAAAAACAGCTTTTGAAAGTTGGCATTCAAACTGTGGCTAATGAATGAGGGTGCTTTGTTTCTATATTCTGAATTTGTTTGCTGATATATACATTCTGGCATGTAGCATTACATTTTGTATCTAGATTAAAAAGGAAATCCAGCATCCTATAATAATACATTCCATATGTTTCAATTATACACACAAATTGCAGAAATTCTTTGTGAGGAATGTGAGCTCTTGCTATGGAGCAGCTCTTTTTTTATATATTTTGGTTACTTTGAGACAGGGTCTCACTCTATAGCCTAGGCTGACCTTGAACTTGCTGCAATCCTCCTGCCTCAGCTTCCCATGGGCGTGCACCACCACCCCCAGTGTGGAGCAGCACTTGTTACAGATACCATGATTGGTGACACCCTGAAAGTTGAAATATGCCTTTGACTTTTTCACAGCTCTGATTTTAAACCTCATTTTAAAATATTATACATTGCAAATTTACCCTGACGTGTTTCCAGTGGCTCAGCTAAGGGTTTCTTGTAGCCACTGCTTGGAATGAGAAGAAAAAGTGTTAATATGCTCCTCAAAAATATAGGGCCTAGCCAGATGAGGAGGTATGGGAGAAACTCAAGTGACTCCCCTTGAATGCAGAACAATTACTGTGAGTTTGATTATTTGGAGACTTACTTCCTTATACTGATATGTACAGAGCTGACTGTGGTATTCTCTTCTCTCTTCAACTGGCCTAAGCATTGTAAATAAGGCTAGCCCAGGTACTAGTATGTAATCTCTAAAGCCCTCAGACAGTCTCCTGTTTCCTCCCATAGTGCTCTCTCTCAAATATGTAATGGTAGATCCAGTCAGCTCCAGGAATGTCAACTGGGTATGAGTCTCTAGATAAAGAGGCTATGACTCCCCAGAGCACAAAAATTTACATATCAGAAACCAAAGCAAAAAAAAAAAGAAAAAAAAAGAAACCAAAGCAACAGCCTCCAAAAACAATTCTCAGTTGCTACCTTAAATGAATTATGCAAATTGACCCTTCTGCGTATCCTGATCTCGGCATTTTGCAGAGATGCTTTTCTGCCTACCTGGCTGCCAGCTCAAGCTACTCACCCAATTCCCGCCATCCTCACTGTCCCTCATCCTCCAGCCATCCCCTTCTTCACAAGATAATAAATTCTGGGAGAGGCCTAGGATCAGGGCCTTTGTCCTCACATCCTCATGGGAATTGGATTTAAGACTCCTTAGCTGCTCTTGGAATGCCTTGCTGTCTTTACTCTTGCTATGGGTTGCGTTGGAGGTGGTAGATTGGAATTAACTTGCTGGGATTCCAATAACATCTCAATGGGATTGTAAATAATAACTTTCTGAATTGTGAGGAAGACTGCAAAAGGGATTACAATACTTGGATGACTGTACTCAGTACTTGGGATTACAATACATAGGCCAGTGTGAAGGCCCAGTATTGAATCTGTAGTATCACAATAAAGAAAGAGAGAAGGAGGGGCTGGGGATTTAGCTCAGCGGCATAAGGACCTGCCTTGCAAGTGTGTGGTCAAACCCCGGTACCGATAAAAAAAATATTTAAAAAAAAAGTAGTTTTGTCCAAATAACACACATAGAGACTTAAAAATCATGACTCTGAGGGGCTGGGGATTTAGCTCAGTGGCATAAGCGCCTGCCTTGTAAGCAGGCAGTCGTACACAAATAACAAACTCACTGAGAGAGAAATTAGGGAAACAACACCTTTCACAATAGCATCTAAAAAATGAAATACCTAGCAACCAATCTAACAAAGGAAGCAAAAGGCTTTCACACTGAAAACTATAGTGCTCTGAAAAAGGACATTGACAAGGACACCAGAGGGGCTGAGGATTTAGCTCAGCGGCATAAGCGCCTTCCTTACAAGTGTGTGGTCGTGAGTTCAATCCCTGGTACCGATAAAAATGAAAAAGACAAAAAAAAAAAAAAAAAAAAAAAAAGGAAGAGGACATCAGAAAATGGGAAGGTATTAAGTAAATAAATAAATAAATAAATAAATAAAATGGAAAATATCCCTTGTTCTCAGGTAAGAAGAACCAATATAGTGAAAATGGTCATACTTCCAAAATTGTTATATAGGTAATCCCAATCAAAGTTCCAATAGCATTCTCATATAATTAGAGAAAACAATCCTAAAATTCACCTAGAACCAGAATAGCTCTAGAATAACAAAGGCAATTCTGGGCAACAAAGGTAAGGTGTGAGGTACCACTATCCCTGACTTGAAACTATACTATAGAGCTACTGTGATAAAACAGAATTGTAGGGCTGGGGATTTAACTCAGCAGCACAAGTGCCTTCCTGGCATATGCAAGATCATGAGTTTGATCCCAGGCACCAAAACAAAGCAAAACAACCAAACAGTATTGTAGTGGCAAAAATACCGACCTGACGATCAGTGGAACAGATTAGAAGACACAGACACAACTTCAAACACACTCAGCCACTTTGTCTTTCACAAAGGAGACAAACACCTTCACTGGAGAAAAGATAACGTCTGCAGTACACGGTGATAGAAAAAGTGACTTTCCACATGAGGAGGATTAAAACTAGACCTATGTTTAACACCATGCATTAAACTAAAATCAAAATGGATCAAAGATCTTAATATTAAAACACAAACACTAAATCTTCAGGCAGATAGACTAGGTAGAGCTCTTGAAAACAGAAGTATACGCAAAGACTTTACGAGCAAAACCCCAATCACATAGGAACTATCACAAAGAATCAACAACTGGGATTTCATCTTATTAAAAAGCTTTTGCAGGGGCTGGGGATTTAGCTCAGTGGCATAAGCACCTGCCTTGTAATCAGGCAGTTGTGAGTTTGATCCCTGGTACCGATTTTTAAAAAATGGGAAAAAAAAAAAGCTTTTTCACAGCAAGAGAAACCACCAAAAGAGTGAGGAGACAATCTACAATGTGAGAAAAAGTTTTTCCCAGCTGTTCCTCAGATAAAGGACCAATATCAAGGATATATAAGCAACAACAACAAAATCAGACCCCCCAAATTTAAAGATCCAACCCAAAAATGACATCTGAGATGAATACACACTTCTCAGATGAAGAAATACAAATGGCAAATAAATATATGAAAAAATATTCAGCATCAATGGTCATTCAAGGATGCAAATTAAAACAACACTGAGATTCCATATCACCACAGAAAGAATGACTAGTATCAACAAGTCAACCAATAACAAATGCTGGAGGGGCTGTGGGTAAAAAAGAACCCTTCTAGGGGCTGGGGATTTAGCTCAGCAGCATAAGCGCCTGCCTTGCAAGCAGGCGGTTGTGAGTTCCATCCCTGGTACCGATAAAAAGGAAAAAGACCAAAAAAAAAACACTTCTCCACTGTTGGTGGGAATGTAGTGCAACCACTCTGGAATCAGTGTGGAGATTCCTCAAAAAACTGAGATTGGAGGTCCCATTTGGCCCAGGTATTCCTGCTGGGTATCTCCCCAGAATTTAAAACATCATACCACAGTGATATATATGCATCCATGTTTATAGCAGTACAATTTGTTTTGTCTTTTTTTTTTTTTTTAACTTTTTATCGGTACCAGGGATCGAACTCACGACCGCCTGCTTGCAAGGCAGGTGCTTATGCCGCTGACCTAAAATCCCTAGCCCCATAGCAGCACAATTTGTAATAGCCAGATCTTGGAAACAATCTAAATGCCCATCAACCAAAAAATAGATAAAAAGATGTGACTATATTTATATGATGGAGTGCTACTCAGCCATAAAGAAAGATAAACTTGAGCCTTTCATAGGTAAATGGATATAACTAGAGGCCATACTCATAAGTGAAATAAATAAGACTTGCATGTATAAACATATTTTTAAACCTTGTATTGTCTCCCTAGTGTGAGAAGCTGAAAGAAATAATATATGTATACATGTGTGTATTTATATAAATATGAAAGATAGTTAAAATAGGTATTCTTCTAATTTTACTTAGTTCATTGAAAAGAAATGTTTGTGCTAATATTGTTTGGACAATGCTGGGGATTTAGCTCAGAGGCATAAGCACCTGCTTTGCAAGCAGGTGGTCATGAGTTCGACCTCCGGTACCAATAGAAAAAGACAAAAAAAAATATTGTTTGGACAATTAAATGCAGATATCTTTTTTTTTTTTTTTTTTTTTTTTTTTTTTTGTCTTTTTTGAGACAGGGTTTTGCTGTGCAGTTCAGGCTGGCCTTGAGCTCACTTTGTAGTCCAGGCTGGTCTCGAACTCACAAGGACCCTTCCGCCTCAGCGTCCTGAGTGCTGGGATTACA